CTTGTCTCATCACTAGTTACAGAAAACTTTTAGCTATTCAAGCTCCTATTTATCGTTCTCCTATTTTGCCGATATTTAACAATACCTTTGAATCTTTGTGTTATACTCCTGATATTTGTTTTAATATAGGTATTGATAAAAATGATACAGAAACTAATATTTTATTTAATTTTAATGTAGATAAAAACTGGAAAAATCATAATTTTATTTTTACAGATACTTCTAAATCATCTGACTCTGAAAATGTAGGTGTAAGTGCAGTGGCGTAGCTAGGTAACCTAGGGCCCTGGGGCAAATAAAAAAATGGGGCCCACTGCTATCAAGATTGGTAAGGTTTTTTAAAGTAAAATCATTAAATATACAAATACTTCAAAAATGCTAAGCAACTTTATCATCAGCTCTTTTTGCTGCATGGGTAGGTAATAAAACTATTAAACTCTAACAACATAAATTACCATTATTTTTATACTAGGTGTAGGTATTGGGCAATAAAACGAAATAGAAAAGATTCAAGGGTTTATTATATATTTATTTATTCATAGATACGTTGCACCAGCTTACTGTTATTAAACCTATCGCCATGCAAAATATTAACAAAAATTATCAATAGGAATATTTTGTCTAGAAGTATCGGGTGGTTAAATTTTAAGGGCCGATGTTGATTTTAAATAAAACACAAATTATTTAGAAAATTATTGTCATTTCTGTTTATTACGATAATATGGTATGGCCCGATGGTCCAAATTTTCGAAGAAAATCATCTTCAGTGATGAGGCTTCTTCATTTTCACCTCAGTGGATTCGTCAATAAACAGAATTTCCGCATTTGGGCGAATGATAATCCAAGAGTGATTGTCGAAAAACCAATGCACCCACAAAGAGTGACTGTTTGGTGCGGTTTATGTGCTGGCGGCAACATCGGGCCGTATTTAAAAATGACAAAGAAACATCACGTAATTAATGGACGGCCCCCACCGCATTTGTATTTTTCACGGTATTTTGAGTTATATAGTGAATAGCCGAAATCTATAGATTTCTTGTATACGTACTATAATCAAATAAAATTGAACTTTTGTATGGACCAGTACAAAAAATTTATTGACATACGCTTACTTACTCCTCTGATACATTTACTTTTCAACTATTCTCGAAAAAAAATCTTGACTCGAAGTTCACAACTGCGAATCACAAAAACGCATATCGATAAATAGTAATATGAAGATATGGATATCCGACAAATTGATGAAAACATTAATAACTCTGTCAACCCACACAAATAATTTAGGGGAATTCCCTTTTTATAACTTTGGAATTTCTCACAACTGAGCTGCCATGATTAAACTCGAGTTGTCATATTTATTTTGAAAATGGGAAAAATTTTCAAAAGTTTAGTTCGATTGAGATTTTCTGGTAAAGATTCGAGGGCCCCCTGAGCTTGGGGGCCCCGGGGCACTGCCCCGCCTAGCCCCTTGGTAGCTACGCCACTGTGTAGGTGTTGTTCATATACAGTATAATATAGTTCAAAAAATTAAATTACCCCCTGAAACATCAGTATTCACAGGTGAATGCTTTGGTATCTATAAAGCCATAGAATATATCATTTTAATGAAACTAAAGAAAACAGTGATTTTTACAGACTCTAAAAGTTCATTACAAGCTATTCAAAAATTTCCTTTTACAATGAAACCTTGTCATTCTATAATTTGTGGCATTAGAGATAAACTAACGCTATGTAAAGATTTACAATACTCAGTTTCCTTAGCATGGATCCCTAGCCATCAAGGGATAAAGGGAAATAATAGAGCCGACCAACTAGCTAAAGAAGCGATGAAGTGTGGAGACGTATACCCCTATCTTAATTATGTTAATGACATAATTTCCTTACCTAAACAGTATTTATTAGATACTTGGAAAGAGTTATTACCTAAGAGTTTTCAAATTAAAGGACAACATTATTTCAAATTGCAGCCCAATATTCGTATTAAACCATGGTTTACCAAAAAATACGATAAAAAATCCGTTACTATTATTATGCGAATGCGTCTTGGGCATGTGTGTACTCCTGCACATCTGGCCAAGTTACATATTGTAAGCAGTGACCTTTGTGCGTGTGGAAAAGATGTAGGAGATCTTGACCATATTTTCTTTTCTTGTCCCTTAAATGACTGTTCCTCTTTCATCGATGCCTTAATAGAACAAAAGGTTCCATTACCCACTCGAATATCATGTTTACTACAATATCCATGTGTATATTATAGTATCTTATCTTCTTTTATTCATTTAAATAATATCAAAATATAACAATGACTATATATTTTAATTAACCAATTATCTATTTACAATTACTCTTAAACTAGCAACTTATTTGATCCAGTATTTGTATTCGCGTAAATATGTTTTCTATTTTATGAGATTGTTTCCCTACCTTTTACATTAAACCCTAGAAACAACTCGACACTGGCAAATTGTTCACACATTATTGCCATACAGCAAAAAAAAAAAAAAAAAAAAAAAGCACTAAAAAAGCACCTCCACTAGACTAGCAGGTTTTCTTTCATGTTTATTATTATGTAAATTCAATAAACAACTCATATTCTATTTGTACTTTTTCGTATTTCTATTGATATCTAAGTTACGAACAGTTCAAATTTCATTTTTTTTTTATATGTTACTTAAAAGAAACGGAAATCTGTCGCAACTGTCTTTGGTCCATTCGTTTCCTGCAAAAATCAACTTTTGCTAGAGTCGCCATCTAGTGGAGGTGCTTTTTAGTGCTTTCTTTTTTTTAAATACTCCTCATTGCTTTTTTTGTCTAAATTAGAAAAAAAGCGACCAAACCCATTGATTAAATGTGCTAGCCAAAGACTAAGAAGATACTAGGTATGTGTTGTTCCTCCATTATTAATTCTTTTATCTACGGGAAGTTACATCATACGCGGGTGACTAAGGCTATAATTTTCGTAGGTCTTCCTACCTACGAAAATTATAGCCTTAGTTACAGAAAAGTAGATAGTTTCTGAATATTCCTTTACTAATAACAAAATCCCCATAATGAAGGAACATTTGACTACCTATACTCCATTCATTATAACATTAGAAAAAAGAGGGTCATAGAAGCAGCAGTGCAGAACATTTTATTTTCAAGATAAATTTAAAAAATATATATTATAGTTTTGTTTAAACTTTGAATGTTAGATAGTCTGAAAGAGCCGAGCAATTTTCTATTTTTTACGATATCTCGGTGTTGAGATGAGGCCAGCATTTTCTAAATTCTTCTTTTACTCCAAAGCCAACATGGAAATAAAACTATCTATCTGTTGATTTGGATTTAGAATATAATTTAGTTATATCTATGCCCAGTAAAGAAAGGTAAAAAAAATGAAAATTTTATTATTACTTTTATAATATTTATTCAGACATTAGACTATTGATAAAGACATTGAAAAAACTTCTTGAAACGTCAAAGGTTTGTAGGTATGGGTGCTTATAGCGTAATTGTTGTAGACCACTCGGGCCTGCACCGGCATCGTCCATATTTAATACAAATTAACAACAAAAACAAAACTAAAATAAAAATAAAACAATAACAACTTAATCACGGAAAACGGAAAAGCAACAAGAAAAGCAGTAGCATTCACAATGGATGACATTCCCAGATTACGTATTTTGACAATTATGAATACATCATAATCTTACAAAATTAAAAAACTATACTGCCGAAGCGATTGAAGGGATTAGGCAACGTTTAAAAATTTGGTAGAATTATAGTGACATGAGAATCGTGCCGAAACTATCCAACCCTGCTTCTTTGGGTTCTTTAAGATGAACACTTTTTATTATAATAGTTAATAAATCATTTAAGTTAATCAAATACTCATAAAAATGTTTAAAAGATTGCTTAAATGACACAGTTAAGTATAGCAGCTGGTATTTAAGTGAATATGTAGCAAATTAGCCGTCAGTTTTAAGAGTAACATAATTATTGATATTTTGTCACAAAGTATACCATAAAAAGAACCTTATTTGACTTCTGTCTAATGCTATAATGAATGGAGTATAGTAACACTGATAATATATTTGTTGTCCCTTATGGTGACGCCTAATAACAGTCTATTGCTTTCTCTGTGTACGTTATTTTCTTTTAGTTTTGTTTTAGTTGTTAAGTTTTGTTAAATAATTTCAGGAAGATTTTACAATATCTTCATAAATAGTCTAATAATATATATGTTATAAAAGTAATATTAAAAATAAAGACTTGTTGGAGATTCGTAATATAAAACAGCTCGGTGGCTGGTGGTAATTTTGCTAAACTTCGATATTGTTTTTTTTTTCAATAAATACAATGGCTACGATATAAAGGACAGCGTCCATTATCTCCTTTTTATGTATACTCAATGCCATTTTCGGGGTAACGGGTTTTTTTGTAACACGCGGTAGGTTAATACAGCTAAGTATGTATTAAAGGTAAAAATTAAACGTGTTATTTGAATATGTTTTCGTGTCATACATTTTTATTTGAAAATATTCGTTCTAGGCTTCATAAATACTTTTGCCTCTAAAGTTTGAAATATTTTCATCAATTTTTTTTTTTATTTCTTTGGTGCTCGGCCAAAAGAAATTAAAAAAATACTTTTAAGCACGTGTGCAGTAAAGGATTTCACTACATTTTTATTTAACACGTGCTTAAAGACTCACTTTCGGTGTTTACAATAGATTAAAAAAATAGCGCTTTATGAGCAACTGCATTGAAAAGTTAATTAAATTAAAACTGAGGTCTATTTTATTTACCTAAATAAAACAGAAAACTTTTTTAAACAATACCATTACATCTGTGGATAATACAGGCAGGATAGGGCTTTTTTGGGGCTTTTGATTACGCCATTCAGGGTTATTTAGAGTTATTTGAGTTTGATTTAGGAGTTGGTAACACTGTTCCACCTACATCGCTGTTCAAGAATAAACTATTAAAAAAAATAAAACACATCGCAGTCAGTATAATATTGTAGTCTTTGCACATCGCTGTCACTGGTGTCACCAGGTGTCACTGTCTTAACTGGGTTTTTATTTGTAATTGTGTCGGTGAATTCTTGCTGGATTGATTTTTAAAATCTAATAGATCATTGCTTACAAAAATAATTCCAGTAATTAACTAGGTACCTCTTGTTTATTTATTTACTCTGACTTTAGTTTGTGTTACAATCGAAATGTTAAGTGTAACAATTGTGCTTTAAAATCTTATTTACAGACCGCAATGGGACGCCGCAAATCTAAAAGAAAGCCTCCAGCAAAACGGAAAGCAATAGAGCCTCTAGATCAACAGTTCAACTGTCCTTTTTGTAACCATGAAAAGTCGTGTGAAGTCAAAATGTATGTATTCGAGAATGCCAACCATATTCAAAATAGTGTAATTTATATTGTGATCTGTAATTCTAATTTTACAGGGACCGCGCAAGGAATACAGCTAGAATACAATGTCGAGTATGCTTAGAAGATTTTCAAACCACTACTAATGTACTCTCAGAACCAATAGATGTATACAATGACTGGGTTGACGCTTGTGAAAGTGCTAATTAGGAATACATTTTATTGATTATATATTATCTATAAGTTTCACTTTATTATAACTGTAAAATAAATCTAATTAAATATCCTCATTCTTTCGTTCCATTAACAACATTTGACAGTAATTATGACAGTCTTAATAATGTCTAGCATTTGTGGTTAAAATTGAAGTTACAATTCTGAAACTACTTGAGGTATATTGCTTTTAGAAAAACTCAGTTTAAATGTTTTTATTCAATTAAACTTATTGAAAGTACTTTTGAATCATTTAATTTTTTATTACTGCTCAGTCTGAGTAACATTTGGCTGATTAGTAAAATGAGCAAAGTCAACAGTTCCAATAAGAGTAACAACATTAACAAAAACCATGTCATTATCAAATTAATATTAACAATATAAATTATGTGTTATTTCACTTTCTATTACAATATTTAATTTCACAATAATACCATAATTTACAAAGCAGTAATTTTGAAATTAAATTGTCTAGAATAACTAAGTCCAAACATTCCTATCTGCTTTATATATAATCAGATACATTAAAATAAGTTTTTTTTTTTTTATATTAGATTTATTCCAATTATCTTATTTAATTGTCAACTTTAAATTATTATTAATTATAAATTATCAACTTATGAGTCACCCAAATCTGTCCCTTAAACATTTAGGAATCACCTAAGATGAAAATGCATTTTACCAATGACTAAGAACTACCTAACATGAAGGAACGACATTAAGCAATATCTAAAGTTATGACATGCACTATTATGTGGGGCCTTGTGCTAGGCATTTACACAATATGAAAAGTCACAAATATATCAAGGTATCAAACAAATAATGATTATTTTGAACTAATCTGCTTGGGTGATTCGTACGATTAGGCATTTCCTAGCTGGGATATGCCTTGTTAAAGGTAAGTGGAAATAGATATAAAACTGCTTGAAAGCAAATTGTTGTAGTTTTTTGAATTATGCTTTCAATCATATTAAGTTGAGATAAGTAATTGAAAGTACCTATACTATTATCCTGTCATTATTTCATCAGTATGGACATGTTAGATTAAAATTCTTAGAGAAATCATCATAAGGCAATATATCTTTCTATTGCTATTTAATCTCCTAATTCTACATTTATGGAGATGAATACAATTCAGTCTGCCACTTGGATTGTAGAAAAATATTAAAAAATATTAGGTATATTTTTTGCTTTAAGTTACCAAAGAAGTATTTTTAGTAAGTATTATTTAGATAATGGGCTCGATGGCGTAGTGGTTCATCGCCGCGGCCTGTGATCGTTGTCGTTAAGCAACTTTCGCAAGGGTCGGTCTCGGGATGGGTGACCAAAAAATTATTATCTCGAGCTACTCCGTGCTTCGGAAGGCACGTTAAGCCGTTGGTCCCGGCTGCGTTTGCAGTCGTTAATACCCTCCAATCCGCATTGGGGCAGCGTGGAGGGTCATGCATGGCCCATCCTCCTTAACCATCCATAAGGAAGGCCTGAGCCCCTGCAATGGGGACGTAAAAAGGGCTGATGATGAATGGGCAGGCATTAAAGTAGAGGAGCAGGGCTTACTAATACTTGTAATAAATTTACAAAGGTGTGACATTTTAAATCAATTTATCGCCGTTACTTTTAAGTGAAAATATAAAATTGTTTATCCACCAAAAGAAAAGTCAAAGTAGTCAAATGAACCTTAATCTCATCTCTAGGTACAACATGGTTTAGTTTTATTTTCGCATAAAACACATTCTTAAATCAGGTCCCAAATTGAGACTGAGTTTATTATTTTTAATTTTTTTTTTGTATTTATATCTTTGTTACCTTCCCCTTCCACGAACACACACACACCCACAAAATAGCTGATTTACCCCTAAACCGATACAAAACTATAGATATAATACTAATTTTAATTATGAAACTTCATCATTGTTAGTATTTTCATATGAATAAAACTATATATTTTCATGTATATTGTTTATTTTCCAACAGTATTCATGTGTACACATAGATCATATAGACACCGGATGAGATTATTAAATAATGATAATATTATTTTCTAATTGATTTAGCATCATGTATGAGTCACACTTATGAGTTTTGTTTTCTTTAAGTACATGTTTATGGTAACAATAAGGAATACTAGCAATTGATTAATGTTTCAAATTCCCGTAGGACCATCAAGTTAACAGCTTACTCAAAAAAGATTATTATTATTTTCACAAGACAATAATGTCTATGTCATCCTTAAAATATCTTCAATATTCCTCAGACACGACTTTCAACAAACACTTATATATCCATTCGTTTAGTATAATAACACTCAAGCACTACTTATCTAGATCATGACTAAAAGCATAGTCTTTGTAAATTATGTCCTTATATTATAGAATCGTAATGAGTTTTCGAATGCATTTATGAACGGAATGTTATTTAGTAATAACAATTAAGTGTTATTATTTAAATAAATAAATAATATGTGAAAACGACAGGTAACAATAATAAAACAATTGTATTAGATATTAAAAAGAATACATAACAATAACAGGTGATTTTTATAATTTGATTTTTTTATGATCTAATCTCTCAAGCTTATAGCAACTTACAATTCTTATTAAGGCATGAACAATACTGCATTAAATATTTGTTTAAATAGTTAAGAATGTGTAACAATTTTATTATACATAGAAAATTATGAGTTTTCATAACACTTTTCGTTATAATTTAATTATGTCAACAATTCCATGCCATACTGCATAAATATTTGTTTAATATCAAAAAAATCATCTGCACATTCAGAATGCATCATTGCTGAAATACTTAATTGACAGTGACTTCTAAGATGTGCATAAATATCTAACGATTTAAACCTTCTTTAACTTGTACTCCTTGCTAATTGTAATACTTTAAGTCACAATAGAAGCTTTATATCACTACCTCTATAACAACAATAGTTTAAAAATTTTACACTATGATCATAATAAAGACATTTGCTTATATTCGCTAATCGTAACTACATAATGATCAAAATATTTTCAAATCAACAGCATCAAGCTGCATCATTTATCTTCAATATAAAACAAATTGTAAATAAATAAAAATAACTCTATAAAAATATAGAAATACCATTAGAGAAATTGAGCTATTGCCTAATCATACAACCCCCGGGATTTCTGTAACCATGTCATAGTTCATAACTCGTAATAGCTAACAGAAACATTATATACAAAATTGACTACAGTTTGTCTACAAAAGATCAGGTCTCAGGACATGACATGGTTACTAGAGCCACATACTACAGCGCCCCCTGTGCATAAGCAGTGTAAACAACGTATAAAGGACAAAATAGCTCAGAAAAAAGTATCGATTTAAAATGACAATCGCCAATATCTATTGGATAAAAAAAATCACTGAAAAAACCATTGAACGTTTCTTTAGTAATAACAATAACCAATAAATATCACACATGCATTAAATTACATTTGCACTTTTAAACGTAGAAGCGTAGTTTAATATTGCATACAAGTTTAAAAACGAACAAGATACCGTTCAAAACTTTCCCATGTCGATAAAAGAGTCGTATTGTAAATCGGAACTTTCGCAGACTGTGCTGTCGTCGTCTACGATATCGCGAAGAGATGCCAATTGGTTCGTCGGCGAGTACTCCACATCGCATACAGCTGTGTTATCTGAACTGTCACTATTACTATCTATGTATTCAAACAGCTTACCTTTGCACTCTAAGAATCTACAGACGTCTTCGACATCTTGAGATTTCGATGCAGCAGCGTTATCCAAAGCGATGGCGTCGAATGAACTCGAAAGTAAAGCGTCTTCGTACGATAATATTGGGACCGTTTCCATGTTTGAAGTGCACGCGTCTTCTGTGAAACGTCCTGAATCGGCCACTTCTGATATGTTCAGAGACGAAGAATCTTCCAAAGCTGATGTCACACATTCACTCGGCACATTGGTGTCATCCACATCCAAACGTTCCTGTTGTGAACTAACAGTTGTTGGTACTTCTTCGATGATAGGAATATTAGTTGGGGAAACGGAATTGTCCTCGGACAAGTCGTCTGGATTGAGAGTCACCGAATTGTCTTCTTCGTCTTTCTCTCCTTGTAAATTATCTATTTCATCGACGCATTTGGTGGAATCGTCACTATCCGATATGAGTTCGATACTTTTATCTAACAGGGCGGCGTCTGCGCAAGTGGACATTTCATCTTCAAACACAATTTCGACACTTCGTATTCTCATGAGAGGCATTTTGGCTGGTGATATTTCATTTCCTCTAGCGGTCATTCCTTTTTTACTATGGCTGATGTCGATCAATGATTCTGTGCATTCGCTGACGTCGTCATAATCTATCTCGAAGCTTCGAAGGTCAGAAGCACAAGGCGAGCATTCTGTTGCTTTAGCGATATGGTTTCTCGGAGAGTGTGTGTAAGCCTGATTTGGTGAGGGCGTGAGAGTGGTATGCGCATGTAATCCCTAAGGTTGCAATGATTCTTATTGTACAGTGGTGCCGAGATCTACGCAACCCTCCTCCTGCATCTTAGTGAGGAATTTGAACACTCGGTACTCTTCGTCTGTCTGTTTAACCATATCGACTAGAGCCAAAAGTTTCTTGATTCCAATGAATATCCTGTTTGTGAAGAACGTCATTTTTATCATGGGCAAATTAATCATAATTGGCTACTTGACAGTTATAACAATGAATTATGACATATGTTGGAAATGGTAACTTATATTTAAACTATATGTAGTATTTTTGTTTTAAAATAAATTGTAAGTAATTTTCATTTATTCGCGTTTCGGTTATTGTAATCGATTATAATGAGATGAGATGACATTATAATCGATTACAATAACCGAAACGCCACCCATGACAGAGCGTAATGTGACGTCACATTTCAATTATCTAAACGTCAAATTCTTCGTTGCGAGTGTAACTAATACACATGCTTATCGAAATGTAACCAGAATGTGAAGTGACCAGTGGCGTGACTATATCGTTTGAGGCCCGTGGCAAATTCATCGGATATTAATTTTTAAATTTATTAATCCTGTAATTAAATTCGATCCTGTTAGGTCCTGGGTAGCTCAGTCGTTAAGACCAGTCGCCCGGATTACTAAAGGTCGCGGGTCCGAATCCCATCTCAAAGTTTCATATGAAAGTTTAAAAATACTTTTGTCAGAACAATCAAGTAGCCAAAGACACATTTTCAATTGCCGATTCGGCTACAGATGAAATTCCATAATTACTACTCTATCTCGAAATATATTATTACTTACTTAGCGCCCCTTAGATCGTTTTGTATCTTAGCGAGGTCTCGCTTGGAGAATGCGTCGCTCTCTTCTAAAACTGCGAGAACATGCTCCGGTTGAGACAGATTGGGTACATGCAACACGCCCGTGAATGCTGATAGCACCTCCATATCTTCTAGCACTTGCCTAATATATACCAATATAATATGTAAGTCAACTAGACATATGATTGACTGTTAGACAGTTCATAGTTTAATTAATTCCGTGGAAAAGACGCCAAATTTTCTCAATTCTTCAGACTATTTTTTTCACATAAAAACTCTTGATTGGGAGAAAACATATTATAAAGATTTACATGATGTAATGCGTATAGTCCATTACAAAGGTTAATTCAAAACTTTCGAATTTCCCCTCTCAATTGTGAACCTTAATAAATTTAGAATAGTTGTCAAAATCCATTTGGAAATTTGATATACATATGGTATATCAAATTTCCAAATGGATTTTGTGTGCAGCCTGCCTGGACCTGTCGTGCAGCCGTCTACATTATAATAGTAATAGGGTATTACACCAATTTTTGAAAAGTATCTCAATTTAATCTTAAGGCCCTCATAAATAATGGAAAAAAATATAAATTTTCTATCCTGTCAGTAAGTGTCATAAAATTACATAGAAACTTTACATTTTTAAATTTCGCGAAACTAATTAGACGACGAAGATACCTACTTAAAGTCATGTTGCTCTTTTAGTTGTGACATCACTTTGTAAACAAATGCGTTCTTTTGCTTTCTTACATTTTTATGCACTTTTTTATCATTTTTCAATAGTTGTAAGAAAAAAGTTAAAAGCTTTCCAACGATAAGTGTTTACTATTGATAAACTTGTGCGATTATCCTTTACAAAACCATGACATGGTTTTATTTTAATGAAAAATACTTTTTCTTTATTTCGTCATTAAAATGTTTAAAACAAAAAACCTCTAAACGTATTTATCTTGCTTAAAACTTAATTATCATGTTAGATTACAAACTGAATGACGTCATATCATGGCGGCTATTGATTCACGTAATAAATACACACACTAAAGATTTGAAAAGTTTGATTTGAATTAACAAAATATATATATTTTATTAACTGAAAGTAATATTTTCAGGCTACCTCAATTGTATATTTTTAGATTTTTTCTGGTAATGACTAAAATACTCTTTGACTTACCGACGGCTACTAGTGCACAGGATAAGTAGTTTCCTGCCCTTAGGCGGCTGCTTCTTCAACAGCACTAGTAGAGCTTGAAGTGTTAAGTTGGAGTATCGCGGGCCAATCGGGCCGTAATCCAACAGTCTCTCAATATTGTCCACGAGAATGCACGAGAGACTTGAGCGATAAGCATCGTCGAAGTACTGCCAACGGAATGGTTTAATTAATTTAAACGTCAATAGATGGCGTTGAAAACACTTATCTGAGTTACTAGCTTTCCGCCAGGAGCTTTGCCCGTGTGGTTTTCTCGTTTTTGGAAATTATTTCATTGCTGCTCCACTCCTATTAGTCATAGTCATAACGTGATGTTACATAGCATTCTTCAATAAATGGAAGTGTTGTTTCAATTCAAATCAGTAGTTCCTGATATTAGTATTTAAAATCAAACAAACAAACTCTTCAGCTTTATAATATTAGTAAGTACAGACATTTTATAACAGCCAAAAATAACTTTTAGCCAATAACCAAACACACAAGCTCTTTAGCTTTATAATATTAATTAATAATAAGTATAGACATTTTTATAACAATCAACATTAACTTATAGCCAATCATGCACAGAAATTCAATATAGGCCAAAGCTTCCGCGGTAGACTATCCGTTTCAACTCCAAATCAAACACACAAGTATAAAAACAAAACTTACTTTCCTAATCTGCAAGCACTTCGCGGATTCAGTGAAACCGATCATGTCCTCAGGGGAACAGACTTTCACGAATGGGAAGTCTGAAAGTTTGGCCAGTTGAGCGGCCAAAGCTGTCTTTCCACTGTTAGGTGGACCTTCTAGGAGCACTGACACTAAACCTATAAAATGAAATAAAAAAAATGCTACTCAGTTTCTTTTGTAACGCTCTTTAAGAGCCAATAGGGTTATTGACAGTGATTAATATAAAACTTAGGCATATTAAATCCAACAAGTAATCTGAATATATAGGTATAAAATTAGAAAATAAATAGCTATTTTTGAGCTACGTGTCTGTCACGTGACTTCAAACAAAAATTTAAAGCGTGTGACGTCATAAAAACGTATCAGCTGTCAGTGTCATTGTTTAAACTCTAGAGTTTAACATGTGTACTCGTACAATTATAAAGAAATTGAATTATGAATACATTGAGGTTAAAGTTGTTAATTAGAATAAAAAAAACGTGTTTATCAATAATCTCATGATATATAACTACACTATACTATATAACTATTAAAATAAATACACAAAATAACGTCATAATATGGCGGACATATTGCGTTGTAGTTATGGATCCGAAAATAAAATTTGAAAATAATAAATTTATAATATTATCTTGTATAATTAGCGGGTAAAATGTTCTCGCACTTTCATTTTAAAACATTTTTGAAAAATAAGGATGAAAATAGGATAAAAATTAATTTAGTCCGTCAGTCAGATAATAGAAAAATATTAGACATATATTTTTTATTCCAATGTAAAAAAAAAACAGCATAGATAACAGGCATTAAAGTTGAGGACTTGGGGCTTGCTACGTTAAAACTATCTAAAAAATGTACAAAGGCGTAATGACATTTCAACTCAATGTATCGCACTAATTTACTGATTATACAAAAAAATACCTGACAGATAAACATACAAAAACTATTTATCATTCCCTATTATTAAAAACCATATTTATACCTAATAAACAAACTAGTAGATTAAATTATTCAATCTCGCGTAATCAAGAAAACTAAAACTATCCTCACCGCTAGCTTCAGTAGCTCTAGCTTGTTGAATGTAAAGCTGCCCGTCTTCGAGCAGAGATGAAACAGGCGAGCCCCAGTTGATGATACCTCGAGCCAAGAAATGTTCGAGGGCTTCCGCCGCCGTACCGAAAGCCTGACAAAGGATTTTCATTTCAAATACCAAGTGTGTAAATTGAAATTTTCGCTTTCCTATCCCGTGATCGACCATTGAGAATGTTGCTTAACAACAACGATCGCGGGCGCTTGTCCACTACGCCACCGAGCTACCCGATTTATTAGTTTAATAGTATTTATTTATATATGTTGAACTTAGCAACAGCAATTTTACCACTATAAAATAGAACTGCTCAAGTGAGTCGGCAATATGATAAAATAGAGGGTAGTTAAATATTCGTTGAGAATATCAAATCATGTTCTTAAATACAAGTTTTTATTATAGGATTATCAAAAAGGCCTTAGAAAAATGTATTTCTAAAAATTTGATTCTACTGGTCGAATTATATACCTATAGAAAACAAAACAATGATTTTATAGTAAATGAAATACAGAAACATATTAGACACCAAAATTACGTTTTAATTAAAAAATAAATTTACTCACAGGCTTAATATCATTCTCGAGGGCGTGCAAGAAGTCCAGTCGTTCTACCATCAGTTTCTCCATAGCCTCAGGGTCAACTTCTACTTTGCTGGAGGCTTTGATCAGTCTGTTCATTGCAGTGGACTGAGCTGCACGGACAAGACCTTCAAGCTCAGCTCCTGAGAAATTCTTTGTGAGGGCGGCAAGTTCCTAAAATAATTTATTTTGTCAGAATATAGTACAAAAAAGTTACAAATTTCCTCTCTTTCTAGCATATGATACATCTGTGTGATAAAAAGGATGGATGATGGTATTGGAATATGTCAAAGAACTTGTGAATAAAAAAAACCTCATAAAAAGTGGTAGACCCGATTAATCAATACTGTATAGAATTTTAATTACTGCGTTTGGTTTTAAACCAAAAATATTCCATATTAAAAAAAAGTAAAATTTATTTTCTAAGAAACAAAAAAAAAGTGAAAAAAAAAATTCGTCAGAATCTACCTTGCAATCGACATCTTCAGCGATTTTCTTATATTCGTGCATACGTTTAGTGTGTATGTTCAAGATCTGAACTCTGCCGTTCTCGTCTGGAAGACCTATCTCCATTTGGACCTCGAGTCGTCCAGGTCGCATTAATGCCTCATCAATCATATCACGACGATTGGTCATACCGATTACTAGAATATTATTTAGCTGGTCCACACCTACGATAACATAAAATCCAGCGTTTTATTTTCTTACAGGTATACGGTAGCTCGGTGGTGTAGTGGATAAGCGCCGCGGCCCGCGATCGTAGTCGTTAAGCAACTTTCGCAAGGGTCGGTCACGGGATGGGTAACCAAAAAATTATTATCTCGAGCTACTCCGTGCTTCGGAAGGCACGTTAAGCCGTTGGTCCTGACTGCATTTGCACTGCAGTGGGGACATAAAAAGGGTGGAGGTATATGAAGTAACCATGCATACAGACTTTCATTAAGAACTTTGACATTTTTTGAAGTTTTGCCGAAAGCACACCGTCTATAATAGGGACGATGACAAAATTTTGTGTATCTGTCCGTCGTCCGTATATAAAACATAAAATAAAACACAGTTTTTTTTTGTGTGTGATCAATAAACAAGGTTGTAGACAGTAAACGAAAATAAATACCTATTTTTACTGGTAGTGTTTAATATACTATTATTGATAATCACACTTTTATGCTTATTATATTTATAATATTGCTTAATTTTGAAAAACAAATCTTTTATGCTCATTGTCACTTGACCGCAAACAGCGCGTGACGTCACGCCCTTCTTACTCATATCAGAACTTAGAGAATACATAAAACGATATTCGTTTCATAGTGACGTGTCATTAAAGCAACACCACGACAGAAGTGGAGTCCATGTTTATCTATAAATTAAGTTGTAAACACACCTAATAGTGAGTTAAAATGTCGCATGACGTCACAACTTTGTACAATTTCCACACAGTTGTGACGTAGCGAGCTCCCAATTTAACTTCAAGGCCTATCATCTAAACCATTTCTTATAAAATTGAAACAAAAAAAAAAATGCGTATATAATATCTGAGTGACGAACTAAATAGTTCTTTTTACCAGTCATCATCCCTTCCCAATAGATTTTTTTTATAAATATAAATAAATCTGTACATCAATGCTAGTAATTATAATTAAGTCTGTACATCTCAACATAAAATAATTACATCATCCAGATACATACCATCAATTTTGGACAACAGTTGATTAACGACGGTGTCATGAACTCCAGTATTGCCACCAACGGAGCCTCTTGCTTTGCAAATGGCGTCGATCTCATCAAATATAATTATATGAAGACCGCTGTTAGGACCACACTAAAATCGAAGAATGATATAACCATTTGAATTATTCAAAGATCCATGTTTCACCAAACATTTGCTTAACATACCCTCTTTTCCTCTTCTTCTGCATCGGCAAACAAACGTCGAATATTGGCCTCGCTCTCGCCGACATATTTGTCCAATATTTGTGGGCCGTTCACTATTTTCGGCTCGCGTGCATTCAACATTTTACCGATTTGTCGGGCCATCAAAGTTTTACCAGTACCAGGTGGACCGAATAGCAAAATACCTTTCACGTGCTTACAACCTAAAAACCAATTCTCATATAAAATTTATCAAGTAATACAAAATTAATGTCAGGTGAAAAACTGACATTAATATTGAGTGCACTAAAAGTACTAATTGCAAGTGGTTTTTAACAAACTTGGTAATAATTTTAGAATTTCTAAAACAGTACAATTTATTTAAATAAATAGATCAATAACTCCAAACATAATTTAAGTAATTTGACTACTTAAAATGCTATAAAAACATAGATATGCCTGATAATTTGGGATATCAATTAAATGACAATTTATACATTACATACCTATACGTTTCGGGTCTTATAAACTTCGGACATATGAACTTATTTCAATCACTGATTTAACAAGATAAAAAAATTACATAGTTAACCCTTTTACTCTTTATAAAAACCATTACAGTAACTAGTTTTAATTACCTAATTGTTCAACAACTTCCGGTGGGAAAACTCTTGATGCGAACGCACGCCTGAATATAGCATTAAACTCTTTGTCTAAACCGCCAATGCCCATTTTTCCAAAGTCCCAATCGGGATTTATGATGGATTGACGTGGTAGTTTCCTGTGAAATTAATGGTGATTTTCAATATTTTTCACTATTAAATGTTCTTATCTAACAAAGACAAGGCGCCATATAATACTTATAATATGATACTAGGTGAAAATTATATTTATTTTATCCGAAAATTAAGATCTAAAAAACCTATAAATTGTTTATATTTTCAAAAAATTATAATTAAAAGGATTTATTTAACGTATTGTAAAAATTATAAAAATAAAACTTATTCACATACCCTTTGGCTTTACCGACGAGATTGAGCGAAGAATTCTCTGCCTTATCAAACTGCACATTGCAGTCTGGCAGCAACCGACCCATCCTTACACGGCGTGGAACTGCGTTTTTACCTGCCGCTAACGCTTGTACATCCACAGCTGCCGAACGTTATTTAACCATAAATTTATACACTAAAGGATGTACAATTGCGAATTTAGTAAAACTTTATTTATAAGGTATTGCAGGGCTTTAAAACTTTTACTTTCATCTTACACTTTCGAATCTCTATTTTCACATTTGGCGCCCAACGCGGCGTAGAATTATTTTCACTGGTATAATACTTTAAACAAATGTTTTTATTCACTTAAGACAAAATGTTAGGTATAAATATCAGGCAAAGGAACTGTTTATACTTTGAAATATTACATTGGGCGCCAGGCGCCAGCCCAACATGGAACTGACAATTTTTCAAATGATAAATAAAAAATATCTGTAAAAAGAGAGTAAACCACACTTTTTTTGTTCAAATTTACTTCCAATAACTTTTTCTTCATCTTGCGCTCAACGTGGAACAGATCTATTTTTATATAACACAGCTAAAGGTAATAATAAAAAACCTCATATCAAAAGACTAGAAAGCATATTTTTATTACCTTCCAAATTCTTGATGAACAAGGACAAAACTTTCTTGTCTTGAAATGAGAATGCCAACTGTTGACCAACTGTGAATATTTGGTTGGAGAACTGAATAAGGAAGTCTCGTGCCATCTGCTCCGAATCGTATGGATCCAATGAAGTACTAAAATAGTATAATATTTTGTCACACTTCTATAATAAAATCGGGAGTCGAATGGTACTGGCTGGTTTTATGATCCAATGTCACAAGTACAAAGTTAAGTATGTAAAAACAGATTTTTTACATACAATACATTAATTTGATAGTTAATTTCCTATTAATTAATTTGGTAGTTGTACAAACCTATTTATTTACTCAAATGGAATAATAATTAATTACCTTAAATAATATTTGTATGTTATCATATTATCTCTTATGAGGGACCCACAAACTAATGAGTAACTAACATTTTACAAAGAGCTATCAAGTACCTAACAATAGAGGTATACTGGTTATATATATTTTCATTTAGACTTTATTTATTTATTCATTACATTGCATATATGTTACTTAGAAACTACATACACAAATTGCAGATAATAATATTCAATAGGCATGGATATACAAAGCTGAATGACACTATTCAAGTCACTATACTGATTAAACTCAAAAAAAATAATGAGGATCATTTACACTTACGTTTTCTTCAGCATAAAATCTGCTTCTATGATTACATTGCAAAGGCATTCTGCATTCTGTACTTTGAATGGCTTTACATCTATAGTCTGCAATTATGTAAAAAAATATCTGTTATAAGTATGCATTTTAAATATGTCATTAGATGTTAATAAGTATTCTTATGTATCCAATGCTATTTCATCATTTAAAAAAAAACAGATAAAATGACAACTCGGATGACATCATACCCCATGGTAAACAAAGGGGTTCTAAAAAACAGTTACATGATCTATCCATTCTGTTCAGCAGGCCAAACATTCAGTAAAATATAAAAAATATTTTACGGTTTACTTGCTTTTCCAATACATGTTTTTACTCATTAAATCGTTTTACTTCAACTACTATGGATAGATATTGCAATGAATAAAACTTCATGTAACTTCTGAAAAAAGTACATCCTGTGGTGCTACTTGATGGCTTAGCGCACACAATGGCACCTTTCTTTTTAATCCATGGTGCTACTGGATGCAATACTGGTAGCAACAAAAGTATTTTTTTTTTTAATTAAATTTGGTAGATTTGTTCTATGTCAATTGTAATAAGGTGCAAAATTTGGTATATAGGTAATAATTATATGCTCGGGTATTTTAATCAATAATGTTATTCTTGACTTCAAAACTCTGACAGAGGAAGTCAAGACTGGTAACAGATATAAATAAAAGGAAACATATACACAAATAAAAATTTGTTATTTCTGTATTTACTTTATTAACGATTTACAATAATTTATTTGACAAATGGTCACTCCTGACATTTGTCAACAATAACAATTTGATGAATTGTCACTCACCTGACCAATAGAAAGGGTTGCCCATTTTCGTTGTGGCGCTGAAAATCCCACTGTACCACGATCTACACCACTATAAAACCTGATGCTGAAGACAAAATGCTGGGAGGGGCCAGTGGAGACCTCAATATGCCTGTGTGGATTATCAATTTTTTTAGTCACATGAGTCATGCTTTAATATAAGTATGTATAATATTTAACCTCAGTCTAACTACTATTTTTTTAATATTACTTATTGCCATTGTAACTAAAGTTAGTACTCCATTTAAAACATCGGACTACTACAGTAATGACAGAAGAGAAAATGTCCAGTTAAAAGTATTGACTTATTTTAGCAAGATAATAATGTTGAATTTTGTTTTGTAATAAGATAGTTCATGTTATTAAATGTCATTTTTTGGAATTTATGTATTTAAAAAGTATTTAAACCTGATCTCATTCTCATTTTTTGCACTTGATCTCATTCATTTTCATAAATTCAATTCTATTTCAATCAATATCTTTATCAATTTCAAAGATAATATATTGTTACATAATCTTTAAAAAATCAGATTTAAAAAATATATATTGCTTACATTTACCCCTTCCATCCAAAACACATAAAAACTTACTTGACATCACTGGGAAAGTCATCTGGATTAATCAATGCACAATTTGTTATAGCAAGTTCATCTGAAGGACACTTAGCTGCTTTCATTCGCTGCAAAGAATATCATTTTTATGTAAATAATTAAATGAACAAAAATTAGCCTTTCTTAAAGTATTTATCATTATAATAATATTTATTAAAATCTTTGAAAATTTAAAATAAACTAAAAGCTAGACATATTTATTAAAATTTAAACTATAACAATGTATTTTTTTTTAAATAACAATGTTTTTCATTAGCCACTAATGAAATAGTATAATGAGATTCCTAAAATGACTACAGATACATGATACCAATTGTATAAACACAAAGTTATGGAAATTTTAAATTTCCTGTATGTGATAATTATTTTATTCCCACTGTATAATTTAATATGTTAATGAAAAGTAATATATATATATATATATATATATATATATATATTATTGGAAGTGACTGTACTTTTGAAGTGAAATAATTTTAAAAATATTACATAAAATAAACCTTTAAAATATTCAAGTACAAGTACTCAGTTTTAGAATAAATACTTAATATTGTAGGAATACTCAAATGCAATAAAAAAAATAAAACAAACAATTTTAATATCAAATAATGAATCACTGAAAATTACGTTGACCATACATACGAACAGCTGTAAAGGTTTAAGACGACATAGATGTTACGTATAAAGGAAGTATATAAATTAGAATTCAAATACATACCATCGAAGACATTTTATTTATTTCCTTTTTATTATTTCGACAAAACTAATTCACGGCGAGATATTTGACATCAGTAGAATAGGCTGTCTTCGTTCATCAATGAAATCAGCGAATGACTGCAAAGTGCATTTACCTACTCAACATCCATTGGACAAACGATCAATACCAAAACCCATAGACAAAATCTGTACTAACAAAACTTTTAATTTATAGACTCGGATATGGAGCAGTAAAGATAAATATAAAGATATCCAATCTTCTGGAATAAATACTTATGCTTCAATGAAGTTTGATAAAATCTGTTGCGCTAAATCTAATGTTTTACAATGTAATAATAACTCAATCAAATAAATGAGGTTAGGAGAAATAATAAGCTGATACTTTTCTGAATACACAAAGCTTCTTTTTGATTTGAACATAATAGATTATAAATATGGATAGATATTTATTGCGTATATTATATATCGTGCATACCTAGTCTTAGAAACATTTTTAAAAGAGAATTTATTTAAGTTTCTTTTCTTTCTCTTTGGCATAATGTTTTTTACCATAGTAGTGATGGGTAAATCAAGTAAAGCAGCCGCTCTCGGATCGCCAATCACCGATATCAAAACTGTCTATTTTTGATAACTAGTTATTTGAATTTTACTTATTTGAAGTGAATTTTACTCTTATACTAACGCGATAAAGCTCAATTTTGGGTTGGTTACTTATTCACACCGAAATTTGAACGATTTGAACTACGCGGAACGTACAAACATATACTTATTTCATTCACTTGTATACTGATATTGTTTCATTTACACATAACAGGTTGCATTATTTGCGATCCATATTATTTAAACGCTATACATTCTTTAAGATTAATAAAATTGCATTACATGACCGTCAATGTATAGCGTTGGTCCCTTAAAGATGTCTACTGTGATCGCCTCTTCTTGATGATCGCGGATCTTCATATAAAGAGAGTCACCTAAGACATCAACCTTAAGTGATTTCCTTAAAAGTAAATTCATTTTAAAGCATTGTGAAAAATAGATAGTTATTGTATCACTGAATCAGCACGTGTACCCGATAAACGGTTTATCTACAGTTAATTGTCATTTTCTCGGATCGAGAGAGAGCGTACCCGTGAAAGTGACATTCGAGTGTAGACAAAACGTTCTCGAGTTCGTCATGCTACGCGTGCAGGAGTGATCAATCACTAATAAAATCACTAGTTAAATAACTATCTATCGCGAATAACGTCCATCGCTATACCATAGAGTAACATATTTTTTACAAATGGCCGTAGAGCAGTTTGGTAAATCGTCAAATGTTTGTCGTTTCGAAGTAAAGCACTATACGTACTCGCTTTGTGAATAATCCTTAAATTTACAAAACTATTTGTATTCATTAAATTATAATGAAGCTAAATACAGTTATAGGTGGCCTTTATTAAAAATACTCATCTTGTTTTATAATAACCTCAATTCCACATTAAAAATGGAGCTTCCGCAGCCGCCTCAAGGTGCGATAAATAATAGTTCATTCAAATATCAAGGAATCCAAAAAAAAGTTATTAATAACTGAATTAATATTTTAGATCAGGATCTTCGCAATATAATTGATAAACTAGCGCAGTTTGTCGCGAGAAATGGCCCCGAATTTGAGAAGATGACGAAGAACAAGCAAAAGAACAACCCAAAATTCAGCTTTTTGTATGGCGGGGAATATTTCAACTATTATCAATACAAAGTGACGACAGAGCAAGCAAGTAAGCATTCTAAAGTGTCGTTGGATGAAATTGAATGTATCGCGGTCTCGTCCGATCGCTGATTGCGTACCGATGTATAACCGTTTCAAGTGAACCTCCGCTGTTTATAGTTCTAAAGCAATCGTCCGGTGGCCAGCCGGCACCTGCTCCCGCCGGGGCTTATATGGCACAGAACAGGCAATATGTAATGCCCCAACAGGCCGCCGCAACGCCAGCTCAGCTAGGCCTCGCGGCTACGATGGCTGCGGCGCCAGCGTTGCAGCAGTGGCTCGCCACCAACTCTGCTCCGTCCGCCCCTCCGCAGCACACTCAGCATGACATCGACAACGTCAATGCACAGATCAACATGCTTAAAGAGCAGATCACTCAGTCTGAAAGCAATCTCAGTGCCCAACACACAGTGAGTTTTCTATATTTTGTTTTTTTATGTGTTGACATTGTAGAGAAGTTTTCACAAAATTATGTAAACATTAACCTTACAATAACTGATAAAAATTAAATGCTAATAGGTATCTCAATATAATATCAGCATTTCTAGAAAATAAACTGTAAGACACTCGGTTGCAGTGTCATTGGACAGAAGCATTACAGCTTGTTAAAACTATTGTTTGTGAGAAAAGATCTATCATAGTTCAATCATATGAATTATGTTAATTAAAACTGCAAAATAGTTTATTATTATGGTTTAATTATTTAAGCCATTTACCGTTTTACTGTTTATAAACTCAAGGACCATAAAACGAAATGCCTAAAATCACTTTAATTCTCTTATTTTACAAAAACCCCAATCAAAATTAACCTAATAATTACAAACTTTGGGCACATTTCTTTAAATAAAAGTGATTTAAGTAAATTTTTATTTTTGTTGTACCTAATTTATAAGCAGCAATTTATAGTAGTCTTGGGTATATACTGTATAATACTTGACATGATCTTTGAAAGTTATAGATCAAACACATGTTAATTCTTTTCCTGTCTGTTAAATCTGTTTTTTGTAATTATCATTAGTTTTCTAATTGGATATTTTATAATGCTGTTTATTATCATAAAATATTGTATGTAAATTTTTTACTATTTATAATTGTGCATGATTATCAATCTAAATTTGATGAATTCTATTCTTCTGAAAAACTGGTATAAATAAATAGTATAAATAGAACTGTTAGAAAACTGTTGTCTAATAAACATTATACTATAAGAAAAATAACTATAGAAGTTTTATGTACAAGTGTTTTTATTCATGATTATATATATTAAGATTCATGTAATTCAGAATAATAGAATTTTATAATTTTATACTTGTAAATACACTTTTTTGCATGTCTTCAAAAGTATTACATTTCTTTAAATCACTTTTTACATATAACAATTTTCTATTTCACATATCTTATTTTTTCTTTATTTTCATGTCAGATGTAATTATTTATTTATTTCAGTTTATTTTAAAAAGCTTTGGCAAAGTTTATGACATTTTAACTATTTTAGGTATTGATCCAGCAACAACAGGCTAAGATCAATGAGCTGGTTAGCAAGGCTCAAGTGGAGACTATCCAGATGATGGCAGAAGAAAACCATATAAGTCTTGGTGAATTGGACAATATCTTACAGCCTATCATAGATACATGCACTAAGGACAGTATCTCTACAGGTAGGTATTTTAACATGTAAAACTAAATAATTTTTATAAAAGTGCTATTTAAGAAAGGTAATCAACTCCTTTGGTTGTATTTTTAAATAGCCACCCATGTCATAATATGTAGAGTTCAGACTCTGGCACAGCATTATCATAGTTGAAATTGTTGTTTTCACTATCTCCAAATTGAGTGAATGTAAAAGGACTTGTCTTAGCTTGCTTTAGCTCGGTAATTTGATTTGACAATCTTTAATTACAGTGGGTAGGATTGCTACATCATTGATGTTGACCTAGGATTAATAATTGAAATTTCAACCCTTAAATCATTAATTCCAATTAGAAATTATATGTTGAATAATATTTTGTATGACCAATTGGACATTTAACTTGAATTTCATTTTTATAATGGGCACAGCTGTTCCTGGAAAAAGGAGGAAGGAAAGCTGAATATTTTAAAATGTATTTGAGGGTAAATGAATTGTTAATACCTATCTACATACATCATTCTCTATTTCCGCATTGTTGTACGGGACTATAGGTTGATGACCCCCACCTCTGATAATAAGCGACACTATGTGCAAACAATACAGAGGTGTATGGATAGCGATTTGTATTGTTTTCTTTTAACACTCACATAATACTTTGCCATTGTTGTTTTTTTACCTGTCTTTATTTTCACACCAGATTTCTTCCGAGGTAGGCAAACAGAAGTGAGCACCTTATTGCATGGATGATACACTTCTAAATATAAAGTACATTTATTATACTTTTTAAATTCATAAATAATTATAATGGAATAAAAATGTTATTATTAATCTCTTAGAAACTATATAGTATATAAATACATTATCACTAGGGAAAGGGTGGATTCTGCAGCATGCTACATCACATGATGCTGGAAAAGTCATATCACAGCATCTCCTACGGAAAGTGACACAGCCAGGGGCAGCTTTCACACAGAAGCTGCACATCATTTACCTCGTCAATGATGTTTTGCATCACTGGTCAGTATAGATGAGATGGATAGAGCTATTCTTTAAAAATACCTTATTATGTATAAAAAAAAGAAAAAAAAATCGTTTGTAAGTAGGTGGTCTTTACTTAAATTACTTCAAACGGCATATATCTTCAATATTATTTCTTAATTAAAATACTTTTATAACATGCCCTAAAAGTATCCTTTGTACAGGAGTAATGAAATAAATATAAAAACCATACCTTTCCAATAAAATAACCAATACTAAAAACTATGAATTATTAACATGCCAGACAGATATCAAGTTTTTGTATATAAAATTGGCAAAAACCTTTTTTTTTTTACAAATGTATATTATGTCCCTTTCTTTAAATGTCTACTGGTGACTTTGATACTGTTATTCCTAATTACAGTGCTCGCAAAAACGCAGAAGATCTCAAGAAAAATTTGGAAAATGTGGTGGTTCCAATGTTTTGCAATGCCAGTATAGGTAACATATTTATAATAATGCCCTCAAGATGTAGGACTCTTATTCGTTTGTGCATTCTGATTTATTTGTAAAACAATGTTAGTTCATCACCTGTGGTATACACCAGACAGGTAACTTGCTTAGAGGCACTCTGGCTTATATGACATCAGTTTAATTATTTTGCTGTTTCAGCCGTAACCGAAGAACAGGAAGCTAAGCTTAACAAGCTGCTGCGCCTATGGGAGTCCAAGTCCAATTATTTCGAGACTGCAGTTATAGAGAAAATGAAGAGTCCCACCAGTTCGTATCAAGAATATCAGAACAACTTAATAGCTCAACACTCAAATGCAATCTCTCATTTGACTCAGCAGACGAAATCCACATTTGAAAAGTATGTATTGAAATTTTTTTTATTACATCTATTATTGTTGACAATTTATTAAATTAATTTTGGGTTACAGTTATCAAACACAGCATCAAGCATTCGTCACTCACACGATGCAACAAATCCAGCAACTAGAAATGCAAAAGCGTGCGATTGAGCTACAAAATCAAGACAATGATAACATACAGCAACAGAACAATGTACAAAATTCTTTTCAAAACAACAATAACTTTAATGATCAAAGCTTTTCACAAATAATCGGGTTTGATCAAAGCTTCAACTCAAATAACCAACAGTATGGAAGTGAAAGTGGCGACAATTATGCATCTAATAATAGCATAAGTGGCAATGAAAATAGTTACGACAGTCAAACCTTTGATCAAATAACAAATCAGAAGAGGAATGATAATGTAGAGGAACCTGATTTGGCGAATCTACCGAACGTTAATTTCTCTCAACCGCCACCCGGGTTCCCGCCTAATGATAATTCGGCGTTGCTAGCATTCCAAAATGGTCTTCCGGATCTTAGTAAACCGCCACCTGGTTTTCCTCCATTCCCTGAGGTGAACAATGAGGATCTCATGCCTTCAATTCCATATTTTGAGCTTCCTGCAGGCTTAATGGTGCCTCTTATAATGGTTAGTTAATATTTAATTTTTGTATCATTCTTGTATCTATATTTAGTTGCTACATTTTTATGTTGTTTTGCATGATTTTAGTTAGAAGACGACAGATACAAACCATTGGACCCAGCAAAAATCAGGTTACCTCCTCCTGCACCACCAAATGAAAGATTACTCGCTGCAGTTGAAGCTTTCTATGCATCACCAAACCACGAACGTCCTAGAGACAAGTAAGTACTGTGACACAAATATTCTAAACCGTATAATTATAATGTCTTATATATGGTAACCGTACATAATAAAAATCACATGCATCATAGTAGATCCATGCGTCTACTATGATGCATGTGATTTGTATTACGTAGATAAGAATTTACAATTACTTTATTTTTAATTATAGTGAAGGCTGGGAGAAACTTGGACTTTATGAATATTACAAAGCTAAAAATGCGGCACGAAAAAATAAAGAAGAAGCAATAGCACAAGGACTCAGAGAAAAATCAAGATCACCAAGTCCTATTCCAAAAGATTTACAGAAACAACCCACCCCTCCAGGAAGAAGATACAGGTAAACCTTATTTTACACTTCTAAAGAAAGTAGACAAAAATTCTCTTAAGAAAATACTGATCGTAAAAAAAAAAATCATTAATTCTTTCACTTGTTTATTTGGCAGATCAAAAAGTCCAACGCCGGAAAAGAAATCTCCAGTACGGTCAAAGTCACGGTCGCCTTCACCCAGAAGAAAGACGTCATGGCGAAGAGAAAGAGAAAGGGAAAGTAAGTCGTATATCTGTATTAGCAAGATCCCGTGATCTAAGACAGACATTGCCCAGTGATTTACTGCCTCACTTTAGGTAGTAAATTGGTGATTTTCGTGTTGTCGACTTTTCAATCTGGGTAACCTTCAATCCTAGCAAAAATTTGCAAAATTAATAATTTTCAGTATTTATTCTGTTAATCTCCAGTTTGGATTTATTTTATTTTTATTATATATAATAAAGATAATATATGTATGATCTATTTATATAAAAGAAAGCCAATTAAAAGTTTCCACGTATAGCTTTATTTTAAGAGTGGTACTCTTATTGTTGAAGTAATTTCCATTGTTCCCTATCCCTGGCAAACAACTTTACTCCTTGATACAACACAACACTTATTTTTTCTTTCAATTGTTCAAAGTAGTTGCGTCCATGTCTTCCTCTTTTCTCTTCTATTTTGCCTTCTATGATGTTTTTTTTTATCTATCATCTTTTCCCTTCTGTTCTCTATGATGTTGAGTAGTTTTTTGTTTTCGTTCACCATTATTAAAACCTCATTGGTATTCCTTTCCACTCGGCTTATTCCCTCCATCTTCTCCATTTTAAACGCTGCAAATCTTTTCCTATCTCTTTTATTAATGTCCATGTTTCACAACCTTATGCAATGTTCCAAATGCAAATCTTCACCAGGCGTTTCCTGACCTTCGAATCTTAGCTTTAATGAGAAATTTTTACCATTGAAATATATATATATTTTTTATCTCTGTTACGTTACTGTGGCGAAAGCCGTCAAATTAGTCATAAAGATATCCCTATTCAAATAAATCAAATTCCTGGATGGCGCTGTTCTTAGCTTATTTATATCTTTTTATTTCGTAATCATGGCACTATTCTTGTATTATTGATACATCTTAATCTTATACTGTAGGTATGCATCTATTTTGTGTACATATGTATTAAAATCGTTTAAATTTTGATTTGTCGATCGTAGGTCGCAGACGGTCCAGGTCACGGTCGAGATCGCGGTCGCGAAGTCGCTCGCGAGAAAGAGAGCGGGAAAGAGAGAGAGAAAGGGACAGAGTCGAGTCACCGCGAACGAGACGCGTCGAGCGGTCAAGATCGCCGACTCCTCCCAGCTTTCTGTTAGTCAACACAACACTAGCCTATTAATGTGCCCATTGCTGGGGCTTAGGTCTTCCCTAAGGATGGAATCGAATCAAATAGGTAGAATGGGATACCACGGGGGCCCAGGGCGGATTGGTGGGTTTTATCAACTGCAGATGCAGCCGGGACCAACGGCTTAACGTGCCTTCCGAGTTCGAGATAGCAAATTTTTGGTCATCCCATCCTGTGATAGGCCATTGCGAAAATTGTTTAACAAATGTATCGCAGACCAAGCCCTTCGCCATCGAGCTCCTCAAGCTTTCTGTTAGTTCTACTATAATCATATTCTGATTATTTATAACTCGTATGAATTAACATGACATCTTAAAGCCTATTCTGTTTGTCCCTCGAATGAAAATTCGAATTGTTCTTATATCTATTTTTGTTAAAATCATGTCCGTGAAGATTTTATTTGTTTATGTGTGTAGTATTTAATCCTACCTCCGACGCATCATAAATTATTGAAAAATGCGTTCCTCTGGAGTCGTATTTGCATTTCGAAATGTCGCTTTCAGAGAAATAGAACAGGCCTTCAAGTTTTATGTTGATTCGTACGATTAGTAAGTTCATTTTATCATTAGCTAATTAATTTTTGAATAAAATAGGGAGAACGAGCTATCACCTACCATGTGCACTATTTACAGATTGGTGGGTCTTAACGACTGAGAATCCATCCAGTCGGGATCAACCTCTTAACATACCTTCCGAAGTATGGAAGAGTTCGATTTAATAAATTTATGGTCACCCTACATGAAGACTGATCGCTTGACGGAAAGTAGAACTGTGTTAGTACATTTTCTGTGAAGCTTTATTTTTAGCAATAAAGTTAATTTTATTTTCAATTCAAGAATTGAGAGCGCATCACCCTAATTTTACGCCGCGGGAAAACAGCTAGTTGATAATTATAAATATTAAACAACATCACATACATCGCTGAGATTCCCAGATGAGTAGCCTCAACCCCCATATTATTTAGTATTGGAGACAATCAATTAAACACTCAGATCCGAGACAAAATAGAAAAGTTCAATTTCGACGTTGATCCGGAATCGAACCCGGGACCTCGGAAATGAAACACCTCGATACCGGCGTGCGAACCACTCGGATACGGAGGTTAAAGAGTTGAAGAAAAAAAAAATCGAGATTGATATCAAGGACAGCTGTAGATCCGTAGGTACCTTTTGAAATCACGGTCTCTGAGACCCCGGGTTCGATTGCTGGTAGGGTCAATCTAGAGAATATATTTTCTATATATTGTCTCGGATCTGAGTATTGTGGTACCTTCGTTGTCTCAGGTACTCCATAATACGGGAGTTGTATCTTGAAATCTGAGCAATGTATGTGATGCTATTATTATTAATAATTTATGGTACAGTGGTGCCGCATATCCCAGTACATCGAGCGGTTTGGACGCTAGCAATAAGGGTCATCAGTTACTACAAAAGATGGGATGGAGTGCAGGTGGACTGGGGGCTTCAGGCCAGGGCATAGCGGAACCAATCAGTGGCGGCACGGTCAGAGATAAGCAGGATCAATATAAAGGTATTTTTACGTTCAAAACTTATAGACGGAGAGCTTGTGACAAAAACGTGCAAGAGCTTATAATCTTTATATTTTAGTATATTGAAATACTAACACCTGGTCTCTGAATTTAGAATGTAAAGTTAAGTACATCTTAAACTGTACTTAAACCATCTTAAACGTCACTTAAACAGGTTTTCGTTTCTGATTTAATTTTCTTAATAATCAGTTGATAGCAGTTTGATAAAACTAGGTCTGTGACTTGTGAAACGTAAGAAACTTAATCTTAATCTGTTGGGATTTTGTACTTTAGTGAATGAAGTTAAGGCCCTGGAACACTTGGTACAAACTTATAGCGATCGCCGATATGTTTGTTTCATTAAATGAAAGTCTTGAGTATTTTTTAATAATAGTAATTATTTTTAATTTCTTTCGAGGCTCATATTCACACAAACTTTAGTTCCTCATTTCCACACAGGGTACTCAGTAGAGTGATGTATAACCCTTAGTTCTTCAAACTTACTGAAATATCAGGCTTTAGAAAGATTTTGCACATTTTCGTCACAATCTCTTAGACTATAAATTTTAATAAAGAATCATGTCCACTTTGCATATATTGATTGACCTGTCACATGTTTTTTTAAAGGTCTTGTCTACCCACCATTAAGTGATAAATGCAATTAGTTTTTCCTTAAAATAGAATAATATCTAAGCATGTTTTCATTTGGAGGTCAGGGTGATTTGTTATTTGTAAATAATGCATTGAGGTTATAACAGTTGTTAAAACTCTAGATAATTGTGAAACTACTTTAAAAATGCATTAAAATGAAGGTTTTTTTTAAAGTTTGACTCGTAAATATGGAAGTAAACCAGAATTTAATAGGGATAACGACTAATTCTATTTAGTCTGTCAGTCAGATGTATATAATAATAGAGACTAATTGTATATGTCTTTTTTTGCTTTAATTTAAACACGAAATGGCAATAAAATTAATATGAATCGCTACGTCACAGTTTTGTAGAAAATGCACAAAAGCGTGACGTCATGCGACATTTCAAAAACAGTGTATCACTGTAATTTATCGATTACACAAAATAAAAACGTATTTAATATTATTTAATAATCTACCTGATGGACAAACAAACAAAAACTAGTCATCATCCTTATTTATTAACGTGCATTATTTTTCCATAGTATCAAACCCTCATTGGGTCCGAATCGCATTCGGGTAGTTATCATAGTGCTATTAAAAAAATTATCGACCTCGCAATTTTTTATCTTGACTTTATTTTAAGATTTAATTTCCTGATTTTAAGACTTATTTCATAAGTAAAAAATAGGCTATATTTTGAGATATATCATCACATCACCTCGTTAGTAAATATTTAGGTCAAAATTGGACACGATTCTTGTTTTGATCGTGACTTACCCACACGCATATTGTGTAGAATTTGGTAATTTATATACTTAAGTGTTCTTATGTATTAGCGGTATTTTTTTCTATGTACCTTATTTTTTGAGTCCTCGATATTTCGACAATGTTGCAAGCGCCATAATCAATCACAGATCGATTCAGAATCCATTTTACAGGAGACGAAAAAAACGTTTCATATTTTTTCTACAAGTTTTTTATTTTTATATATGATCAATTGATTACTTAATGGATAGGCATGGGAAATAAGGTGTTTACATGTATTTCAATAAATCTTCATTAGTTTCAAAATTACTGTAGATAGCTGGTATTAGTTAAAATATTTGTGTATGTTTATGCAGCTAACTGTAATATAGATGGTATTGGTAAATGAAATAATGTAGATTAAAGACTAATAAAAACCCTTAGTTTTAAATTGAATTTTAAAACCAGTAATTACATGTTTTCTGTAGATAGGTGGTATTTCCATACAATTATTATAACACGTCATCTAAGTGGTATGGGTAGATCGATAATTCTGCCAGTAATGTACACCTCAATTGCTTCGTGATCAACTATTGTAACAGTACCAAATATCACTCATATAAAAAAGTACATGTACTAAGAATTATTGTTACATCAATATTGTGTCCATATAAGTTTAAAACAATATATAAGTACTTGAATTAATTTTTTGCTAGTTTAGTTTCTTTGTTAACCAATATTTATTCAACAGGTGTGGGAGTAAATCTAAATGATCCTTATGAAAACTTCAGAAAGAACAAAGGTGCAGCATTTATAACAAGAATGAAGGAGAGAGCTCTGGAACGTTCATCGTGATCACAGTTGACTTATGTTTTGTGTATATGTGTACAATTGAGAGTGTGGTTGGATTATGATTTATTTTATCTATATCATCTTAAAATAAAGTTATATGAATTTTATACTAGTTTTTTTTTTTAATATGCACTTTTTACAATTCAAAATCATCTTCATAGTTGTCTTTGAATTCAGCTAACCTATTTAAACTTTCATGGTAGTCAGCTGCTTCCAATCCCTCATTTTGAAACTTATGAAGTTTTGCAAATTTTATTCTCCCTGCTTCTCTATGTAACTTCTCTATAACATCTGCTAAAAAATTACCATTATGATATCCTGCTATCACTGCACAACTTTTTGTAGTTTCTTGTGAATTACTATTTTTTAGGAAACCATAAGCATTCAGGTTTTCAGAAAATATTTTTGGGAATGGAACTTTTAACTCTAAAGGTGACTCTGTAACAGTAACATTAGTAGCAGAAAGAAAATTACTAGCTTGAAAATAAAGCTCAAACATTTCTTTAACACTACTACATCTGTATGCAGGTAAATTCATTTGTTCTTTGGCTTCCTTTAATGGTGCCTTTAAAAAGCTTTCTGGTATACCTCTTACAGTAATTAACTGGAATAATTTGTCTGTGGCTAATTTACAGCTTGGTGTGATGGAAGCGTAAATTGGCTTAGTCATATTATTTAAATGGTCAATAAGATATTGTGACTCATTAAATGTGAAAGGGATGCCGAGAGATGCAGCTGCCATTTTCCTACCATAGCCGGACATATCTGCAATGATGTCCGACAATGTATAAAAATTGCTTTTGTGCCTATATTTCTGACTAAGTGTATCCAAAGCTGAAGCTATCAATGCTGAAGAATGATAGTATAGTTGAGGGTTGTATTTAACATGTTCAAAAGCTCTAGGATTGCCTGGTTTCCTCCATCCTCTTTCTCCTGTGCATAATGGAACAAACAATGAGGTATGTTCAGATAACTCTTGAATTGACAATGCAGTGTTGACCAATCTTATAGAATCTTTTAGATTTGATTTATCCCTGTCTTCTTGTGACTTGGGGTCATTGTCAGTGAAATATGATGCTATTATGGGATGCGCCAATATTGGTTTTATATATTCATCAGCTAAATGTTCTATACAGCCTATTGCTAGTCCTGAAAAACCATCTGTGCAATCAAAGTTAACATGAAAGCCTTGGATGCTATCACATTCTTCTACATATTTCCTGATATTGTCTGAAAATGTGTCACCAAAATCTTGCTTCCACAGTGTGCAACCAGAATTGTAGATGTCAAAAGTTTCCTGAAAACATTAAAATGATCACTTAAAAAAATAATGACTTAGCTTTTTGAATTTACATAATTAATACTCACAGTTTCATCTCCATGACAGTACTGTTTGACAATATTTACTGTTCTATTATGAAAACGAGGATATAAAAAATCAGTCCAAGTTTTTACATCTTCTTCAAAATTATATTGATTTTCCTCTATGTTCACATCTTCAGAATCAATATCCATAAGGAATTGATTTCGTTCTGGTACTGTCTCCTCTATTGTTTCCACTGTTTCCCATTGTGGATCTTCATTCACTGTTTCTAATGGTAAGCTACCGGTTGCAGGCAAAGTTTTTAAAGATCCTTTTAGATCTGCCAAAATAAGCCTAGGAGTGTATGTAACTTCACCCTTTGCAGATTCTCCTTCACGGTACAGAATGTCATGATTGATGTCGTTATTCTTAGTGCCAGTATAATCAAAGCTAAGTTCTTGTATATTCCAAAAATGTGATCCTACGTAGTTAGAATAATGACCAAATTGTAATGTTAGTATCTCACGAGTAGTCATTGTTGCATACAGAAGTATTATATATTTTATTGACTTATTCAACTATTCATTCGTTTTATTTCGTACTTTAATTCAGCACAACTTATTAATTGAAACCGTTGTATAATGATATTACAACTTTGATCAGAGTTCGTTTGTAAACAATAATATTAAAATATGTAAGTTTGTCTCAACTTTTTACACACACGCTTTATTTTATTTTTTTTCTTTATTGAAGCTTTGGCTACACTGACCATCAGCTTAAACATACACACGCTTTATTTTATTTTTTTTCTTTATTGAAGCTTTGGCTACACTGACCATCAGCTTAAACATACACACGCTTTATATGCTCCCACAGATAATACATATGACACATATGAGTATGACTGCTCCGTGACTGCCTGCACCTATTTTTTTTTTTTTTTTTTTTGGGTTCTCAACCTTATGGGCTCGGAACCACCTTCCCATAAACGTAGGAAGGAGGCGGTGAATCCTTCATTGGATACCAACACAGCCGGCTGTGAGGGTTATGTCAGACTCTTACTGACTAAACACCGCCTTGGACTACTGGTTACATACCCGGAGGCAACGAACCTTCATCGGAGCGACCGCCCCCCCTCAAGGGGGGGGGCGGCGCAGACGTCCCTAAACACTTACATGAATAGTGACGTCGAGATGTTAGCCGTTAACCCCGTGGGGGGCTCGGCACATCGGATTTAGGTTCGTACAGCTGACTCCCTGAAGGGGAACGATCAGCCGGATCGGACGGGGGTGTGACCTGAAGGGTCGGCGTGTGGAGGGCAGGGAGGGGAGCATCGCATACCACCAGAGGGGTGCTAATTGATACCCGTAACAATTTGTGTGGCCTGCATCCTGAAGGGATGTCAGGTCGAGAGGGCAGAGAGGGTTGACCTGAAGGGTCAGTATGATGGGGTGTGGAAGGTTTGGGGGACCTAACATGTTAGTGCTTATGATAAAGCACTTAGTAGCGCTTCGTGTTCACACAGTGCCAGAAGGCGTTCCTGTGTGGACGAAGCGCGACGGAGCTTAGCCGCTAGGGTGGTGATTTCATTTAGGTCGATTCCACGAATCAAGTTGAGAACTAGATTTATGTCATCGGCCATAGATGAAAGAACAGGAGCGGTTTTGGGAGGTGTGACGGAAGCCTTGGGTGAAGGTTTCGTCTGGGGGCCCCAAACCGGTTTAGAAGCCGATTTGGGGGCGGAATGGTTCGCCTTTGGTAGGGCGGGAAAATTCGCCGCAGTGGGCGGAGGGGGGGCTTTAGGTGCTTTGTTGACCACCGGGCCCTTACCCTTCTTCTTTGAAGAGGGTTTGGGCTTCGGTGCTCGTGGGCAACCTTTGTAGTTGGCCGTGTGGCCGCTTTGGCCACACAGTACACAAGCCGGAGGGGTGAGAGTGTCTCGAGTACGAGAGCACTCCTTTGTGGGGTGTGACTCGAGGCACTTTACGCACCTCGGAGTCGCGGAACAGTTAGCCGCCGCATGCCCGTAAAGCTGGCATCGGTGGCACTGTCCCGGAGTACCGCGTCGGTGAGGGGGTTCTACTTTAACCCCGGTAAGGCCGCAGACCCTAAGGTCTTTAGTCTTAAAAATGTCCCGAGCGTTGGGGACATTCGGAATGATGAGTAGAGCCAGTGGGAAAGGCCTGCCGGCTCTACTATGCATTTTGTGAACGGATTCGACAGGGAATCCCTGTTCGTTTAGATCCTTTTGAATCAGATCGGTGGCGAGTTCGTACGGAACATTTCTTAGGACCGCACGAACTTTGCGCTCCTCTGGGAGAGCGTAGGTATGATAACCCACCTTGTGGTAGGTTAGGAGTCTAGTGAGGGCTCTATAGTCCTCACTGGTGGGTGTTTCCACCCGGATAGCTACACCCATGTTTTTGGCATGGGTGTAGTTGATCTTATTTTGTGTGCAGAGATTCGAGACCTCTGCCCACCTTGATTTGTCCCGTATGAATACGGGAGGCGGAGGTTTGGGTTTACCCGGCTGCGGAGTGCATTTATTATGCGGCCGCAACGGGGTGTGGGAGGGAGTAATACTAGGAGTATTCTCCCGGGTGGCTTTTTTGCCGGTGTTGCCTCTGGTAAGGTTTGGGCCGAGGGAGGTTTTCTCGGCGGTATTGCTTACCGAGGATACCCCGTCCGATGTGCGGGGCTTTGTTGAGACGTTTTCCGTGGAAGCGTCCGCACTTGCTCTAGGAGAGCGTGGCTTACGACGCTTCTTGCGGCTTCTCACCGTATGAAATGTGCCCGAGGATTCGTCGGAATCAGACGTCCTGAGAAGGTCGTCGTCCGACGGAGCGGAGGGGCAGGAGGGGGACCGCTGAGAAGCGGTCCTCTTTATGGATGTGCTTTCGCACTCCATGTCGGAAGTTGGGGGGACAGGCGATGCCTGAGCGGCAGCCAACTCCAAAGTCAATTCAATGATTCTTTGGTAGTCGCTATCGGACACTGTTCGCCGTATTTCGTCGAATAAGTGTTTATTTTTCTTTATTATGTCTGACATATCGGCAATGCAAACCGTTAGATGCAAAAGAGAGAGAGGAGTAGTTGTATTTCACTCGCACTTCTCTCCGTCACACCTACCTTGGTAGGTTAGAGGGAGATAGGGCGAGTGTGCAAAAGACCTACCCCGCGCCGGAGCGAGGGGGGAAAACGCGACGCGGAAAAATGCGGCTATCCCTATTGGATATAGCGGCAAACCTTCACCCTTGGGACAAGGCCCAAGTGCACTGGGATCGGGTCTTCGGTGTTGCTAAAGCCTGAAGGGCCTTAGCGAGCGCACCGGGATCGCTCAGTTGGCTTAGTTGCCACCGTTAGGTATCCACCAACTCAAGAACTTGAGAGTGAGTCAAGTCCTACTGGTTTAATGTTTTGAGAAAAACAAAATCAGCAGGGCCTGCGCTCGGGGTGTGCAGACGGCACGAGAGTACTCACAGTTTGGGTAGGAGAGAGTCGTATACGCGCACGGGGGCGCGCAACGAAAGCTGAGAGCGGAATGCCTGCACCTATGCTCTTCTTTACTATAAATAAATAATAGCGATGTTAGGGATGTTCAAATATCGTCGATATATCGAAAGTACTCGATGTTTCCATACGATATATCGGATTGTTTCGATGTTTTGAAAAATATTTTTCTATTCGATATATCGAATATCGATACGTTTATAACACAATATCTAATCGATTAAATAACGTTGATAGCTGACTTATGATGACAATAAAAGCTAAAGTAAATTGTAACATTACAACATTTTCACTTTGATTTTTATAACATGACATCAAATTTTCAGACGTCCTAAGGCGAGTTGTACTCGGTAGCTAAGTCTTGCCAAGCCAATTGCTAATCTTTTGTTGTAGCCCCATCTGTTTTCTTGTTTTCTATAATAAGATATTTCTCCACTTATTTTAAAAGGTGCATTTTTCCAGCAATTGTGAAATTAGGTGCCCTGTGAAATTTTCAAAAAAATACTCGATATTTAAAAAATATCGATGTTTTTATACGATATATCGATAAACATCGATGTCAGTTACCGATATTTTATATCGAGTATTTATATCGATATATTTTTTAAGTGGACACCCCTAAGCGATGTGCAGAGCAAGACCAGTGTTGCCATATGCTATTATAACTTTGCCCCCCAACCTCACAGCAAATCCCCCCCAACAACCCAGTATTAAAAAAAAATCCCCAAAAATGTTTGTCCTTTTATTTAATTATAATATAATACAGTTAGAAAATCATTCATTTTTGTATCTTATTTTAAACTTTTACTTTTTTCTTCACAAAATCCGACCAATTTGGCAGTACTGAAGTATATGAGGAAGTATTTAAAAAATAAAAATTAGTTTTTGAAATCATACTAGATGTCACTCGCGATGTTTGGGGGTAAATAAACTAAACGCAAAAAAAGAAACGTTTTTCGTCTCTGTGACGATATTTATAATTTATAAATTACGTGCAAATATTTACTTTTATATTATAATTAAGGGCGCCACCTTCATTTTACCCGCTAGTATTGGGTATTTGCAGGAATTTAACAAAATACGCACCTAAAGTCATTTCCTACCTGACGAAAAATCACACATTACAGATAAAATATTGAAATAATATCAAAAAGCATTACAATAGTGCGTTTTAGGCAATTACTTTATAATAACTATAAAACAAAATTGTATTAGTGCTAAAGCTTATTAAATGGAACTATCAAATTCAATATAAAATAAAATATTTAAAAATTGTTACGGTGTTTTCATCATTTCCGTAAAAACACGTCAAACAGCGAATTATTATTACTCTTTGTCACAAAGTACACTTAGACCCGCGCCCGCGCCTCCTTCAGTTCACCAAGAAGGCGTACAGTAAGTGGACGTGTCAACGAACGAACGAACGAACAAACAAAAGATAAAAAAAGACTTAGGTACTACGTTTGTCACGCATACACATCATTTCTAGAAGAACGAATTACACTGTAAGTAACAAATACATTCCATCCATTACTTTTTTCAAAGATGCCGAATGCTTACGTGTCACGTTTGAAGTTATTATTATTACGTTAACATGATATTTGGAGCACATATCAGATTTGAAATGGATCAAAATCATTTCCAGTAAGATCATCTCCAGTAAAATGATAAAGACGGAAATGATTTGTGATTACTGGTAATGACTTTTAATCTTTATTTGTTGTTTACTTTCAAATCGTTGAAATTTGTAACGATTCTTAATCACTTGTCAGTGTGCTAGATTAACTAGTGGTTTAAATCAATAAAGTCAAGACGACTGTAGTTCGTATCTTTTGCTACAAAGAAATAATGTTGTTTTAGGTTTGATGACTATGAACAAAAAAACATCGGCTAATTTATCAGCCTATAAGCGTAAAAAATACGCAGAACTTAAAAATGATCCAGAAATGTATGACAGAGAAAAAGATAAAGAACGAAGACGATATATTAAAAAAAAAGAAAGGGGTCAAGTCATCCCTATTGATGA